CGCAATCTCGGCTCACGCAACCTTGCCTCCCTCCGGGTTTCAAAGCAATTCTCCTCCTGCCCAGCTCTCCTGTGTAACCTGGCATTACAGGCGTGCGCCAACCAAGCCTGCTAATTTTTTTTATTTTTTTTAATTTTTAGTAGAGAACGGGGTTTCACCATATTGGCCAGGCTGGTCCTCAACTTCTGACCTTGTGACCGCCTACCTCAAACCCTCCCAAAGATCTCGGGATTGCAGGCAGTGAGCCACTATGCCCGCCTAAAAGGGAAGATTTTAAAAAGAGCTGTTTTTTTGGTTTGTTTGTTTTTTTTTTTTTGAAGATGGAGTCTCACTCTGACGCCCAGGCTGGGGGTGCAGTGGTGCGTGGTGCGATCTTTGCTCACTGCAACTTCTGTCTCCCGGGTTCAAGCAATTCTCCTGCCTCACCCTCCCGAGTAGCTGGGATTACAAGTGTATGCCACCATGCCTGGCTGATTTTTGTATTTTTAGTAGAGACAGGGTTTTGCCATGTTGGCCAGGCTGGTCTGGAACTCCTGACCCCAGGTGATCCACCTGCCTGGGCCTCCCAAAGTGCTGGGATTACAGGCATGAGCCACCGTGCCCAGCCTTAAAACAAAGCAAAACAAAACAAAACAAAACAAAACTTTAAACATGTTTAAAGTAAAAAAAAAAAAAAAATAGGAGGAAGTTGGGGAGAAGGTAGATGCTGATTTTTGGAGTTTCATTTCTTTTATGCAGGGCATGACCCCATGCCATAAAATAACAGTGCAACAAGATAAGAACCCCCAGGGCCTCCCTTCCTAAGTCTTTTCACAGTGAATCCAACCCTATACCCAGAAGGTGAAGTGAACTTTCAAGAGCTCTGAGTTTTGAGAGTCCCTGCTTTTGACATCCTGATCATTCTAGACCAGACTGTTCTCATCTGGTTTGGAAGATTTTGCCCAGGGATGACAAAGCGTGTGGACCACTGGGTTGAAGCATCAAAGAATCAGAGCTGAGGGCCCTCCATGCTGAGGGAGAGTTCTGACTTGAGGGCTATCAGTGGGAAGGGACCTGGAAGGTGGAAGTGTTGCAGGATGCATTGGGAGAGGGAAGAGGCTTGGCAAGGAGAGGGGGCAGAGGGGAGGATTGTGCCATTGATTTGCCTCCTGGTTTTTCCTCTCCTCTCATAGTGTGATTCTGGAGAGTGACCCCCAGCAAGTGATCCAGAAGGTGAATTTTAGGGTAAGAGTCTTCTTGCACACCTCCTCTTTTAGGCTGCCCTTCCTGTCCTTCCTGGACATGGGGCTGCCAAGGCCGAGACGGTAGAAGCCCAAGCTCCTCTAGCAGAAGACAACGACTGGGCTGATACACTTGTTAGGGGTGGGATGAGCAGCAGTTTGTGGGTGGGATGCCAGTTAATGGAAGAGATCTTCCTGTCCTCTCCCCGGCTAGGAGCACAAGTACCTTACCTCTTCTCTGGTAGGAAGTACAGACTGGGGAAATAAATACATCCTCAAAGAGGCACCAGGTGGCTGCCTTGGCCTTGAGGTTGGGGGTCAGGGGTATGGATAGAACCTCCCTGCCTTGTTTGGCTTTCTCATGTCTGGATGAAACCTTTCTTCCCATCTTCCCTCACCCTCCATGCACCATAGCACAATCTCAGAAGTCCTGGCTTCCAAATGACAGGCTGCAGGACTTCTACTAACCAGTCACACAGGTGCAGCTCTGAATCACCCTAACCACTGCATCACCTCACCCATACCCCCAAGCCCCTTTCCTTCACCTCCCTGACCCAGGACCCTCATGCTGGCTCTACCCCACCCTTTGACTCTGCTTCCTTACAGGCAGATGATGGCGGCTTGACTGAACAGAGTGTGGCCCAGGTAGGCCCCCCTGCATCTGCCTTGGCTAGAAATGGTCTAGAGAGATACCGGGAGCAGAGCATCCTAGGGGGACCCAGTGAAGCTATCAAGTCTGAAAAATCAGGGGTGCAGGAGGGAAGGGATGAGGCAGTGACAGGTCATATCTTGGAGAGACTCGCTGGAGGCCTCTGGGCTCTCCAAGTTGGGGGAGCTGGGTACTAATGGATGGATGGGCGTGTTACCATTAGCCCACCTCATCTCCTGGCTTGGTTTAGTTGGATTGAAACTAGGATGAGCGGCCTACCTTGGAGATGGCTGGGTCACTTGTCCTCCCCCGCAAAAAAATCTGGGAACTCAGGCCTCTGATGCGCCGTCTACAGAAACCTGGAAAGGGTACCAAATAGGAGTTTGGCTCCTAAACCCTGTCCTTGCCATTTAGGGTACACGCTGGGATTATTAAGGGACTCTCAAACCCATGATAGGATCTGATTTTCCCCACTCATCACTTGTCACCTTGCCCCTGAATGACCTGGCTATGGAAGAACCTGCCACAATGTTGCATGGTCCTATCTGGAGGTGCATGCAGAGCGGAAGGCCAGGGGGAGGTTCCTGACTCTGAAGCCTGATCAGTTCCCCAGCTGCACAAACTTCCTGCTAGTTCAGGATGACTGTCTTGACCTCTCTTCTGTCTGCCTGCAGGTCTCTCTGCTCAGACTAATCCTGCTTGTATGGAACTTCCTGCCTTGGCACTAACTCCTTGTGCTGTGGTGGCCCTACCGAGATGAGCCTGTGCTGTCTCGTGTGGAGTTCCAGGTGTGGCGCCCATTTTCCTGCACTGCCCTTAACATTCACTTTGCTTCGCCCTCCCCTCTGATTCCCTATGTTTCCTTATACCATGCTGGAATGAATGCAGCTACAAGGCAATTTTCAGGGTGGAAAGAGGGTAGGGAGTAATGAGCAGAGCAGATAAGAACACGGGTGCTCATGGGAGTCATCCCAGGATACATGTTCCACCTTACCACCTAAAGCTGGGTGACCTAGGGCAAGTTACTCAACCTCTCTGGGCCTCACATAATAACAGGACCCTCCTCATGGAGTTATGACAATTCAATGAGCCAATGCATGGCAAGCTCTTAGCAGGGCTCCAAGCAAGTTAACACATGCTGAATAACCATCAGTATTTCTCCAAAGGAAGAAAGAATGAAAACAGCATTTTTAATGGAATTCTGGAGTAAAAACAAAGCAAGCTACAGGTGGCCAATGGGCGATAAAATGAAGACAAAGTTAGATTCCGGCTAGGAGAATCAGGGGAACCCTAAGCCACTGTCCCCAAGAGAGGAGGGAGATTGTGCAGGAGGAGGAGACAGACACAGTGTTCCCTCCTTCTCTAGAAGGGAATGAGGCTGAGTGGCTGAAGGGACAACCTACCTGAGGGACACACCTGGTGTCGTGTCCCCCTCTCCTGCTTTGGCATTGTGCATGTGTGCGTACACTTGTATGTATTTGTGTAAGCACTGGTCTGACACTTTCCACCAGGCATCCCACCGCAGGGTCTGGCCGGCCACCCTTTGCCAGCTATGCCACATCAGCAGTGGGTTGGGGTGGGGTGTTGAGGACACATTGCCAGTCATGGCCAGAGCTAGGGGTTTACTGAGGCGTCAGACAGGCCTGGGCCCCGTCTCCGCCTGGACGTGGCACTGTGGGCGGGAACTCTCATGGCATGACAGCGGGGAGACAGGCTGCTGACACACCCACGCTGCAGATGCAGGAACCAGAGGTCTGGGCAGGCTTGGCCCTGAGGTGGGAGCTGGCTGCAGCCGGTTTCCTCTGCGCTTTCTGACTTGAAGGGTTGGCCGCGTTTAAGCCAAGCAGAGACAAGATGCTGCCACCTAGTGACCGGGGGTTGCAGGGGCGCTTAGGGAAGGTGGGCTGTGGACCTCCCCATGACTGTATGTGGAGGCATTTGACATTCTCAATTCTCTCTCAACCTCCCCACCCCACCCCAGGTTCTTCAGTCTGCCAAGGAACAAATTAAATGGTCCTTATTGAAATGAAGGCTGTGGATTCAAGGCTCCCTGCCCCCCAGACCATTTCCCCAATCCTGGCCAAAGCCCAGAGATCCCACCGTCAGGAGAGACCCCTCTGCATCCCCAGGTCCCTCCCGGAACTGATTCCTAAGGTCTCCAGCCAGGGATTCTGAGATGCAAAGGTTTGGCCTCAGGAGAGTCACCTCTTCTCACTGCCTTGGCCTTAACTCATACCTTAGGCATTCCTGGCCCCAGGGCCCTAATAAACCTGCTTTTGTCTTCTGCCAAGGGTCTCCTTCTCTCTTGGCCTAGGAAGTGTGTGTGTGTGTGTGTGTGTGTTTTCAGATAAGGGCCCCTGCACTTCCTGTGGCTCGTCGTGGGGATATCCAGTACCACGGTGGGGCATGTCCCTGTGGTTGTGTGACTGGGGAGAGATGTGGGACAAGGGAAAGAGAACTATTTAACACCAGGGGGAGGGGGGTGCGACGCTGATACCACGCAGCCCCATGTGTGGCGCATACTGCCAGGTAGGGGAGAGCAAAGGATGGTACCCCTATTTTGCGATGCAGTACAGATATGGAGGCTCCGCTGGGGATTCCTTGAGTCATTTTTTCCATTCCCAGCCTCCAGAAGGGAAGGGAGTAAGGCTTCCTCTGAACAAACCGAGAAACAACATGGCTATTTTTCTTGGCATACCTGGAACCGTGGAATTCCATCCTGGCATACACCCTGGGCACTACAGCTCTCTGCAAGCTTGCGGGTGGTGGGGGCAAGGAAGCATCGCCAGCCCCCACCGTGCACGTGTCCTGAGCACCCTGTGCGCTGCAGAGGGTGTGAAGAATTGCAGGTCGGGAGGGAGAGGAGGGTGGAAGGGTGTCCCAGGGACAAACGGGGAGGGTGGAGATTGTATAGCCTTTCTGGGCGACACGACTTCCCTTCTCTGTCGCCGTCCCAGAACCTCTGTTTTCTCCCTTCCACTCTCTGACGCGTACACTTTCTGCGTCCCTGTAAATGCATCCCTGAGCCTGTCTAGCGTTGCGTCCCGGGACAGCTCGTTTCCCTCGATCCTTTGCGGACTGCAGCTGGTAGCTCACGCTCCACCCTGGCCCCGCCCCTCGCGTGCGCTGAGCACTGTGGGAAGCCCCGCCCCAGGAAAGCATCCGCGATCTTATAGTGCCACCTGCAGGGACAGGCGGGAAACGCGCTCCCGGCTGGGCCGCCCCGCTGACTAACTCCGCCCCCAGGGCGGGCCAGACTCCAGCTCCTGGGCGTTACTCGTTGGTTTCCGACACCGGCGACAGGACGTTGCCCTAGCAACCTGCACGCGTGACCCATCCTGCTAGTTCCGCGCCAGCGTGGGCACAGGAATTTCAGCGAGGGAGGGAAAGTGGCGAGACGTGGACGTTAATAGAAGTTGTCCCTGCGGCTTTCAAGTCCTACATTATAAAACTGTTTAAGATTGAACATTTATAACGGGCTTGACTACTTCTACAATTAGAGAAAATGATACAGTTATGTAAACATTTACATTGTAAGCGCTGGGTGCATAACCCATCCGAGTAAATAATGCAAAATGGCAACTCTTGGAAGGGGAGAAAAAAAGAGTATTCGGTTAAATTCCGTGGAGTTCAGGGGCTACTATGGCGACAAGAAAGGAGACATTTTCTAGAAATATTTTGGCAAATACGCGGCCACACCCAGGGCTTGGCTCCCTCCACCACCCTTAAGCGACGGCAAGGAGGGACTGGGAAATGCGCTTCCTAGCAACGCGGTCGCGCCTGCCTCGGCCCTGCCATTCCAAATTAGCAGGGACGGGAATGGAAAGGGACAGGCAGGAGCCGGGCACTTCACACAAACTAGCTCACCGAATCCTGTGAATTACGCCATGCTCTCCCCATTTTACGGAGGGGAACACCGAGGTTCAGGTTGAAGTGTTTGGTGCAGTTTCCGCAGAGCGGGGCTCCGGACTGGGGAACTGCTGGGGACAGGTGGCTTTCTCGCGCATCCCTGCCCTAGGCCCATCCGAACCCCTGGCTCACACAGGAACCGTACTGGGTTAAAAGGAAGAAGCTGAGGGGGCATGGCAATGACGAGAGGCGACCAGAAAGGTGTCCTCGTCCGCGATGGCTGAGGGATTGCTGGGAGCGGCGCTGCTCCGAAGCAGCCGACGGACCCACGCCGCAGCGGAGAGGACAGCGCAGAGCGGGCTGCGCAGCACTGCTAGAGGAGCCGGGAGGGCCGGCAGGGAAGGGCGCTGCCCCTTCCCGAGGACCCCGAGTTTGCAGGCCCAGCTTTCTGGGGGCTGAGGCAGAGACCCCGCTGGGGGTGGAGGGCCGCCGGCTGCTGTGCCCCCAGCTCCCACGTGGCGCCCGCAGCCCAGCAGAGCCGCCAGGATGACGAGCCTGGCCTGCCGCCCAGAGTCCTGCCCTCTGGCACCGGCTTCCTCCAGACGGCCTCATTAGCGCTGCCACAGGCCGGAGTCGGCGGGCGCGGAGGGGAGCGCGGGGGACTGATTTTCGGGAAGGGCGGCTGGCGGTTCCGGGTGGGAGGGCAGCCAGGGCCTGCCTTCCAGTCTCCTGCCATCCCCAGGGTCCCTCTGCATCTTTCTGCATTGCTCCACCCCCTTGCCCTCGTGGGCGATCCTGCCGACCCCAAGTGTATAAGGGAAGGGGGCCTCGGGGCCTCTTCTTTCCTCCAGCAGAATGGGCACCAGGACACGTCTGAAACCCAGAACCCAGGAGCCAGGGCCCAGCCAGACGGCACGCACAGAAACACTGGCCCCTGGGCTCTGGCGCGGAATAGGACGCCAGCGACACGCAGACCCAACCCGGGGCGCAGAGGTAGCGCGACCTGGCCCTGGGATCCCCTTTATACCACTTAGAGCCTCGCACGCCCCCTGCCTTCCAGCTATTGGCTGGCAGGAAGGCGGGGCTCGTCGGGTTGGCTGGCATCCAGGCGGTGATGGATGGCTCCCCGCTGGCTGGACCGCAGCCGGGCGGGGCGCTTTGCAGGACTGCAAAGATTGGCGGGGGTGGGGCCAGCTAGGCCTGGGTGTGGGTTGTAGGGGGGATGAGCAGGACACCGCCTGAGGCTCAAATTTTCTGTGCCCTTAACCACCCTTTGAAACTTTGCTGTATAGCGGAAAAAAAAACAAAAAACAAAAAAACCTTACCTCTAAATTCCTGCTAGATACCCTTTAACTTTGGAGGCCGATGCAGGTAATGTTGAATAATTTACCCAAAACAGTCTGGGCACAACCTTACAGACCTCCATTTCCTTCCAATTTGGGTCTCATTCATTCAATAATATTTGTTTGTTGATTCATTCTTTCAAATATTTGAGTGTTTGCCATGAGCCAGGCACTGGGGAAAGAAAGTGAGGGAGAGACTGACTAGACTCCGCAGTGGGGTGAGGGTGGAGGTTAAAAGGTAGGAAGTGATTTAAGAGATATTCGAAAGTAGAAATGCCTTTAAAAATCAAATGATGTTGCTTTTATCTAAAATCTGAATATTAGTAAAAGTCCAACAGAGCCGCGCCCGACCGCGGGCAGTCGCTCATCCTGACTGTAATACCCATCGCACTTTGAGAGGCTGAGGCGGCAAGGCCGAATCACTGAAGGATGCAGAAAGTTTCGAGATCAGGCCTGACCAACACTGGTTGAAACCCCAGTCTCTAGCTTAAATTAGCAAAAAATTAGCCCAGCGTCGCGCTGGCGGTGTGGCCTGTAATCCCAGCTAGCTGGGAGGGCTAGGCAGGGCGAATCGCTTGAACCCCCTGAAGGTCGGCAGGTTGGCAGTGAGCTGAGATCTGCGCCATTCGCACTACCCAGCTTCTGGCCAACAAGAGTTGAAAGTCTGTCTCAAAAAAAAAACAAAAAAAAAAAAAAAGCTCACCCAGGACGTTACACTTAAGATCAGCTGTGCGTGCTTTCCTGAGGTAAGCTTTCATGAGTTCAATAAAAAAGAAAAATAAATCTTAACCGGCAGAGATGGCTGACGAAATTATAATTCTAGCATCATGTGTGCTAGGTGCCATCATCTGTTCCCTGTTAAATCGTGCTTGCCCTGCCAATGCCTCTATCAACAGAAAACTGGTAAACATGTTCAGATGAGCGCTTCTAGAATAAATGACGAGTGTTGAAGAACCCACATGTAAATTTTAATAGCTGCACATATAGCAACCTTAACAGCAACGCCAATTCTCCGAAAATGGACCCTTTGGTAACGAACAAGGCAATGCTTACATAACCTCACCAATAATAACAATAAAACTGATTTTGGAATGAATTTGTTCAGCAGACATTTACTTAACAGGCTGTTGTCCAGGCCACGGCACCCGTTGCTCGCCCCCCCCCCCATTGTCGGGAAGCTTCTAAAGGCATGAATTGGGACAAGCACAGTTGCGCTGGACTCAAGGATGATTACCAATTTGGGCGCCTGGGGACACGAAGTCATTGTATCCCCGCACGGACACAAGCAATCTATCGAAAGGCTAATTCACCAGGAGAGAGGCGGGGGTACTAGACCAGGGATACGTGCATGTCAGGGCAGCATACTACCGGCCATAATGTAACCAGTGACGGTTAGATGGGGTGGCCGCATCCTCTCTCACGGCCG